TATTAGGGTCACTATACAGGTACATCACTTCCAAAATGATAGCACACAACACACACACACACATTATGCTTTAAATATTACTTATTTTTACATCGTGAGATGCCTTGCGGCCCCTCACAGGGAGAAAGGCAGCCCACAATGGAGACTAAATGAATAAATGTGATATTTAAGCACTCCTTGAGAGAAGGACACTATCCGTTCATTCTGTTTGTAACCTTTATAGTCTTTGTGGAATGTTTGACAGGAACTTTTCTGAGCAATTACTTTTAACAGAGGTTGCTAATTTGTTAGTGATATTTATATCATATACTATGTACAAGTGGGTCTTGGATCAATCAATTATTATTATCTTTGGTTAGACATCCAGAAAGCTGCTCAGGTTCTCTCTCGCTCTCTCCCTCCTGCTTTCCTCAAACCCAAAAGAGGCCGACAAAATAATAATAATAATAAAGGCGGAGGCCAGGAGAGTCGGTGGCGAAGGTGGTGGAGGCGAGCGGGCGGGTGGGAAAAGAGAGGCAGATTATTTTTTATCTATCTATCTATCTATCTATCTATCTATCTATCTATCAGAATGGCACATGTATGTATGTATATATATCAGACTGGTGCTTGATGTAAGTTGTTCACACACACACACACACACAGAGAGAGAGAGAGAGAGAGAGAGAGAGAGCTGCTAGCCAGCATCCGTGAGATTCCCATCACCGCCACTGGCTTCCCTTTGGCACATTCCCAGAGAGAGCTACCCCAGATCTTCCGGAGAGGCTTCGGGGGGGGGGCTGTGAAAGGGTTCCCATGCCAACCACCCTGTTCCTTCGAGAGAAACCGAGGCTTCGCCCAGCCTTCTCAAACCCGCTGATCGCTGGGGAACGTGGCAGGAGGGCCAGGGGTGGGCGGGAAGGAAGAATACGGCCTCTCTATTTATAAGCTCCTCTCGCAAAGAAAGCAAAAGGTGGCCGCAGAGTCTCCGCGGCACCCCGATCCGTTCTGCTCAGGAAGCCAGCTCATACCCTCTTACATATTTTTAGGCACTGCTTTTAACAGTTGCTTGTACAGTCCAGGGAGTGGGTCAGGGGACGGAAAGATGTGTAAGAAAATCCCAACAAGAACCCTCTACGGAAGGGCGCAGCTTAGAAGGCACAGAAAGGATTTTCCTCGGATTCCATGGGAATTCAGCATATATTTTAGGGAACCTTTACGGCCACATTAAAAAGCAGAAGAGCGCTGCCGTTAATACATCCGTAGGATTGATGGTGGGGGTGGCTAAGAGGTTATGAATTACTTAAAATCCATACTGCATTCTTGCTTTTGTCTCCACAGGCTTGTAAAGCGTCGGGTGGTTGTCCTTCAATCTAGTTCTTACCAGCTGTCCTGGACTACAAGGCCCATCATCCACCTGCTGATGGGGTGGTTGGGGTTGTGATCCAGCTGGTTTAGAGGCCATACCCGGGCCATGTCGGCTGGGGCAGATGGGATGCTGGCGTCCAGCCACGTGGGGCAGGCCACATATTTACTCCCCCGGCTTCGTTGTAGCTAAGAATGATGGGACACAGGGCAGGGAGTGGAAAGCCTGGTGGCCAAACGTGGACCACGAGGAAGGAGGAGGAGGAAGGAGGAGGAAAAAAGAAACCATGACTCCTAGAAACACACTGAAATGGGGGGTGGGGAAAGTCTCTGCAGTCAAAGCTGAAAGTCCATAACCCTCAACAAAAAAGAATTCAGTGGTCTCCAATTTTTGCCATTAGCATCTCCCTTGAACAGAATAGGTCCCCAAAAAATCTGACCAGAGACTAACAAGTTCCTTACTCTTGCAGGACAGAGATAACCGATGGAACTCACTCCCTCTTGATACAGAGATAACTATGGAGTTTTCTCCTCCTCTCCTGATTACTCTCTTGGTCTCCAAAATTGTTTACGCCTTATGATAAACCTTGTTTACGCCCTATGATAAACCCTTCCGAAGCCTTATGCCTTTTTCTTTCTTTCTTTATAGCAGCCTGCGTTAAACTCAGCCACTTGATTATCATTTATTGGTCTGTTTTAAAGCACTACATTCGTATCATCAAGGTAGATTGTTAACCCCTGACCATGTCGTATAATTTTTAAGCTTCTTAAGAAGCATTCCCCCCTCCCATAACACCTTGTTACTTAATCACTCCCGGCTGTCGTAAAATAAAAATGTTCGATTTATTGCTTATCTCGTTTATTTAAAAATGCTTTATCACCCCTGTCCCGTTCGGATCTTCGAGCAGTGCAGAGTACAAAAGAAGAGTACATTTTAAAAGGGAACAGCCGAGATCCCTTAAAACAAGCCAAAAAGAAAAAGAAAAAGAAACGAAGAAGGAGGTTTACAGCAAATTCAAGCACGTGGGTGAATAAAAATATTTTCGGCTGGCATTAAACAGATGGCAATGTAAGCGCCAGGCAAGCATCTCTTAGGATGGTGTTTCATGACTAAGGAACCTCAAGGGAAGGGGGGGGGAAGCCTTCTGAATAACAGGTTTCGGAAAGTTACATTTTATAGACTACAAGACCCAGCATTCCCTCACCAGCAGGGCTGCCGGGTCGGATCCTGGATGCGGAGCCACAGGGTGAGAAAAAGTAACTTTTCCACACTCTGATGAATGACATGCACCTCATAAAAGGGGCAACTCCAGAAGAAACCCCACCTCTGGCAAAGCATGGCGAGGCAGCTGCACGCAGTTCGATTCCAAATCCCATTATACCTACCTGCGGGCCCTGCTGGCTGGGGACGATGGGTCCCTGAGTCCAACAAGATCCGCACAGCTAGCCTTCTTCCTCGCCACACTACTTTGAAACATTTAGGCCTCTTTTGAGCCATTCATCCCAGCCCCTTCTGCTTCGTCTGCCTCCCTTCTCCAAGCCTAGGTTCAATGCCAAGTGTAGACGCCTAGGGGCAGGGACCTGTCCTTTGGCTAACAGGGGCTCACACACCTTGGTCCCCCAAACGACTGAGACTCGGGACCCTCCCAAGCTCCAGGCCGCTGGAGGCGAAAAACACAGATTTACGCAGCATAATTGAGAGCAAAGGAACTCGAATCACCTGGCAGGTCAGAGGTTAAAGATCCCTGCTCCAGAGCCCCTTATAAGCAAATTAAAACAACCAATTAAAACATCTGCCAACTCTTTAGATTATCAGCTAAGGAGGCGAGTTTAGTAAAAGAAAAAGCAAAGCCACATTTCTGCACTGTTCTTAGGTCCAGCTTCCCTCCACTTCCCTCCTGATACGCTGGACTAAAATGCCCATCGTCCCCAGTGGCTTGACACCTCTTGAGGACATCACATTAAGGCTGACTGCCTGAAACCCCGTTCTGGGGTAAATGCAGCAGGGCAGCGGTGAGGTATTCGAACACTGTGCTGGGGGACCTCTGGAACTCCCTGCCACATGGGGAGAGCAAGGCTAGCCTATGAGCCTAGGCTGAGATGGGGAGAAGGGGGATCCCACCAGAGGGAAGAGACAGGGCCGCCTGTCTGGCCACCATGACCGCTTTCATGGGGGGTGTCATGATTCTACCCCACACTTGGAGAGCCCAAAGCAACCACACCCCAGCATGCCCCCAAAGAAGAGCCAGCCTCAGGCCGGGAAAGGTTCTGTGCCCAGCCCCCCTCCACCCCAAAGATGGTTTCTCTGCAGTTCTTCTGCAGCAAAAATCGGGTGGGGGGGGCATCTAAATTCTACAGTCTCACCCAAATCTGGGGGTTCCCGCAGAGAAAGGAANGGGGGGGGGGGCAGCCGGCCACAGGGGAATGGCTACAGAAATTCACCAGGGCGCGGTGGAAGGATTAAGGGAAAATACATGGGTAGGGAGACGCCTGGCACCGGAGGCAAGGCAATATGGACCCCCAGGGGGTCAGGATTGCACCCCTCCCTTGAAAGGGAGAGGCAGGCAAAAGGTCCCTGGCCCTCAGAGGGTGTGGGGGGGTGAGGGGTACGGATCCCTCTCCAGAAATGTGGAAGGGGCTTCTAATCCAGTCTTCAACCATTCCTGCTTCTAGCCTCTAAAACGGCTCCCCCCCCTCTCCAACCGGGGTGGGGGCGAAATAACTGACACACACACACTCTCTCTTACACACACACAAACACACACACCCCCCTG